TCTGTCCCCTTAATTTAATAACCATAAGTGTTCATTGGACTTATCACCTTGTCTTCAGAGAGCCTAGCAACTTGAAACCTGATATGGCATCAAAATATTAACAATCATTAAGTGCAAAGATACTGTGGATTGGTTATATTTATCAAGACACAAACTAACCTCTTGGAAGCAAAAATCAGTCAGCAGTTTGTGACTCCTCTTGATTTGTGCAGGCAAGAATAATCTACTAGATTTTTAGAGCTAATGTCTGCATCCTGAGAATGCATCGTCTTTGAAAACAGCAAGTGAGCATGGCAGACGCTTTCTAGAATGTCAGCCATGCCTCTGTTCTGACTCATATGCATGTTTAGCTTTTCTGTTTTCCATTTAGAAAATAGACTTTCTGGGTTTAATAGTAATTTGACCTCTGCAGCGCCCAGCATTAGTTTAATAAAAGGTCATACTCTTCACTTGTCAAAAGGAGCTTGAGCAGAAATGCATTGCAAAGCACAGTGCTGGCAGCTTTAGTTGGATAGCAATGGCGGTTAGCTACAATAATGGAAGGGCACCTGTCTGCGCCCTGGTGACTGTAAAGTTTTAATGTCTTTGTCTCCATCGTTACATTCTTGATATTTCTTTTTTTTTCTTACACCACCTATAATATTTGGTGTATTTGCAAGTGTATCTCATGGGATAAACATGGGGATTTTGATTGTTCAGACCTGAGGCTGTCATGTTGTGTGTCTTTTTAGTAGAAGTCTTTGTTTTATGCTTTTTATGCAGATTCTCTTCTCTCCCTATCCTCAGAGCCTGACTTAAATTTGAGTACTATCCATGACAAAAGACAGCAGAAGATTCATTTGGTTTCTTTTACTAAGCTGAGATATTAGCAAAGAGGAAGTGGTGCTATGTACTATTATATCCCTCTGGAGATAAACTTTTACTTGCCTCAAGCGTTTGTTGGAGTTATTAGGTTTGGTCTTCTCTCTTTCTCATTTCCTTCCTTTGGATGGCTGCCTAGACTTAACAGCACCAGTCTCAGAATTTGACCAGCCAAGATGATTATTTATGCAACAAACATGCTTACTGAAGGAATTTTACTATAGTATCTAGAAACCAAACTTTGCATCATAGAATGATGGAATTTATCCTTTTTGTGGTTTGAATTTTGTGAGCAAATGTAGAAAACATTCACATCAGATCCCATAAGAAAATCATGATTTTGTCTGTGAAAGCTAATGTCTTAAAAAAAAAGTCTCGGGGCGCCTGGGTGGCTCAGTCGGTTAAGCGGCCGACTTCGGCTCAGGTCATGATCTCACAGTCCGTGAGTTCGAGCCCCGCGTCGGGCTCTGTGCTGACAGCTCAGAGCCTGGAGCCTGTTTCAGATTCTGTGTCTCCCTCTCTCTGACCCTCCCCTGTTCATGCTCTGTCTCTCCCTGTCTCAAAAATAATTAAAACATTAAAAAAAAAAATTAAAAAAAAAAAGTCTCTGTGTACAGCACTTGATATGCCTTTCGTTTTAATGCAGTGTGATCAGTTTCATTTCTTATTTTCAAATAATACATTTAAGGACTTTTCAGGGTTTTTTTGTTTGTTTTTGTTTTTTGAAGAATACCGAGTCACTGCAGTGGCATTTAGTAGGGATTAAGGAAACAGTCCCAGACATGAAGCAGATTCTAACTGGTTATTTTAATAAATTTTCCACAGTTCAAAAGGTTAATTTTGTTCACTGACCTCCTGTCTAAAAACAAAATATTTATAGTAACATCCAGGGGTTGTATCACTGGAAGATTTGAATATTTGGGAGTATTAGCATGAAGACTTCCAGGTATGACCAGAAAATGAAGATGAGTTAGAAACATACCTGAGCATTGGGATAGTAGTCACATTTCTTCCCTGATACAGGGATTTGCCTTCTGTGCTTTCCTTGTAGAAGTCAGATTTATGTGTTTAACAGTAATTTGACTCCTTAGCACCCCACTCTCCAGAATTTAGGAAGCCCTTGTTCTAGAAGCTATTGCTTATTTGTAGGGTGTCAGAAACTCTAAATTTCCCTCTTTTTTTTTTTTTGTGATAAGAAATAGGAAGCTATCTCTTAAAACATACAAACATAACAAAACCCAGTACAGCAAGAATGGCATCCTGTATTCTAGATATATTTAATTTCTGATTAGTACCTAGATATTTTATATCATGGCCCTTTACCTCATTCGCATATTCTTGCAAGGAATTTCAAAACACAACTTAAAGGAGAAAACAGTTATTAAAATTCATTTTCATTAAGGGTGGAACATTTTTAAGCTATGTACTTTGAAAAGGAAGGTTCCCAAAATGAGTGTTGTAGCATTTGCTACAGCAGTGAGATACATTTTATTTTTCCCAGGAAATTCCCTAGGAATTTTAATTGCATAATTATAATTTCTATATTAGATGGTGACAAGTGTGTGGTTATTATCAATTTGCATTGTTTGTAGCAGCAGAATGAAAAATATAAATACTTGTAATATCATTTTTGTTTGTTTCCAGAAAAGTGACATCAATGTGCAGAATTTTCTTTTTTTTTTTTTTAATTCTTCTTACTGTTAGTCATTTCAAATCATTTTAAGTATTTCTAGCAGGTTTTTTAAAGTTTTTTTACATGTTTATTCTTCAGAAAGAAAGAGACAGAGTGTGAGCAGGGGAGGGGCAGAAAGGGAGGGAGACAGAATCCAAAGCAGGCTCTAGGCTCCAAACTATTAGCACAGAGCCCAATGTGACCCGAGCCGAAGTCCAGCACCCCTTACTTCCAGCATTTCTAGTAATCATCAAGTTTGTACTGCTACCCATAGATGTTGCAGGAGGTGCTGTTTCTAACAACAGGGACCCACGTTCCCATCAGTTCCACTCTCACCAAGTTGAATTTGCTGATGAGGTAGAGACTCCTTTCCCAGCACTAATATTACAAAGATGACTCTCCCTACTCTTTGTTCTCTCTCTCCTAGTGGAGATAATACACTAACCTAGAAAACCTCAGAATTGGAAGGGATCTCTGAAAATAATTTATTTTACATTTCATATTTTTATAATTTAGAAACAGAAAAGTTAGGCATTTTGCCCCCAGGATGTTACATCTACATTATGGTAGATCTAGGATGTGGGTCTGGCTTCCTTGACATCAGGAAAACCAAGATGAGAGTCAGAACACACCATTAAGCCAGCAAGAGCATTACATGGGAAACATGAAAACAAGGCAGAGAAAATAATGGTGTTGAGCAAACAGTGATGAACTTTGTTGTTTTCTTCTTCCTTAAGGTTTAAGGAGTATTTTCAAATTAAATGTTAGCTATAGTTACTTAAAACCACTTTTCAATAGAATTTCACTGAAAAATAGTAAGAGAGAAAATTTGTAGATGGGATAAGAAAATAGAAAATTAAATGGAAAAAGATGGTTTTGAATTTTAAAAATTTCAAAAAAAAATAAAAAAGAGAAAGAGAGGGTGGGGTGCCTGGGTGGCTCAGTTAGTTAAGCGTCTGACTCTTGGTTTCAGCTCAGGTCATGATCTCACGGTTCATGAGTTTGAGCCCTGCATTGGGCTTTTTGCTGACGGCACAGACCCTGCTTGGAATTCTCTCTCTCTTCTTCTCTCCCTACCCCTCTCCCATTTGTGTTGTCTCTCTCTCTCAAAATAAATAAATAAAGTTAAAAAAAATTTCTAATTGCAACAGAATTGTAAAAACTCAAGGATGCAAGAAAACTATGAAAAGTAGGAAAAATAATGAATATACCTCCCCCCTAAACCACCATTAGTGTTTTAGCACACATTGTCCTGTGTTTTTTGGGTGCATTTTTCTTTATTGCCTGATACCTCTCATATATAATTTTGTATGATGCTTTTGTGGATTATCATTGAATCATAAGTATTTCTCATGTCATATTATAAAAAGTTTATCAATATAACATTGGCTATTTCTAGAATGTTCTGTCATCATGCTGTAGTTCATTTCACTGTCAATACCAAATTTATTTGATATGAGGGTATTTATATAGTCTTTGCTAAATTAATGATATAATGAAGATCTTTGTGCATAAATGCCCATCTACATTTTATTAAATTCTCATATAATAGATTTCTGGATCTGGAAATGCAAGATGGATAATAAGTAGGTTTTGAAGAGGGAGGGTGAATGTTAGGAATATCTTAAGGAAGTGGAAGACATTTAAAGAGTCTCTAACTTCTGGCCTTTTATCTTTAGGAATCTTTAAGTTTACATCTTTTGGGTTTTTTACAAAAATACCTTATTTTATTTTCTTTATTTTATTTTGTATTGTATTGTTTTATTTTTTTTAATTTTTACTTATTTATTTATTTATTTATTTATTTATTTATTTATTTATTTTTTGCTATAACTTTGGTGGCTTCTTGGCTCCTCTTTTATATAAATTGTGAAGTTAAGCTTCAAGTAAGGCAGCTCACACTATCTGGGTTAGAGAGTCACTTTACCGTTTTTCCCTCTTTCTGTTTCTTGCCAAACCTTCTAATTCAGGGCTATATTTCTTGTCCCTTTATATTTTCCTAGAATTTCCCTTAAATGTCACTAATTTTAATGGCTTACCAGTGGCAATGCTGCTTTCTGGCAGTGCCCTGATAGCAGCATCAAAGCAAAGAGCTAAAATTTTACTCACTTTGATTGATGAGCTCATTTTGTTACAGAGGACAAATTGGATTTTTTTTATACTGGTAATAAAAATTAATGTGTGATGTTGCTTTTCAGATGTTATTGGATCTCTGCCTTAATACAGATTTCAGCAATAAAAGCATTACCAGATAACTTGACCAGAAAGTTACCTCCCTCCCCTTTAAGCTACCCTTACAAGTAAAAGTTGCTTTTCTAATTTTGTAATCCAGGTGTGTGCATGTACGTATGTATATATGTATTGGCCTAATTGGGGTGGAGGGCTGTGGGGACAGCAATGGCAGTAGGACAATGCTTAGTGTTTCAATTTTCCATTTAATTGCCATGTTTATTTCTTTGTATTTCAGCACCTCCAAGATTTACAAGAACTCCTGTTGACCAGACAGGGGTCTCTGGTGGAGTTGCCTCTTTCATTTGCCAAGCTACAGGAGACCCAAGACCTAAAATTGTCTGGAACAAAAAAGGAAAGAAAGTCAGCAATCAGAGATTTGAGGTATTAGGTCCATTGTTCTGTTTCTCTGGGGGGAAAATGTATCCACTATATCTTTGGTTTGTATATTACTTGCTTGTTTTACTTGATACAAAGTGCTGTAATCACTGAGATACGGCATTCTTTTTGTTGCTTGTGTTGGAAAACTTAATTCTAAATGACTCTTTCTAAAAGGGAATTTGGGGGGTTCAGGTGACTAACTTTTGTATTTAATTGTACCCGGCTCAAAGTGTTCCTGGTATCCATCTGTTAGCCTCATCCTCAGACTGTTCCCTCTCAAAATTGCAATATGGGAGTCTCACATCCTCTCACAACCAAGTCTATAATATGAGTGACAACTTCCTATGCTATCAGCTCTTATTGAATTATGTGCTTGTCCCTGGACAAGCTTGTAGATAGACAACTGGATGGTACAGGCCAACTAATTTAACTTCATCTGAACCTACCTCTGTTGCTGGGAATGGGGTCAGTTCCATCCAACTCTATGGCTTTGGAATGAGGGAACAATGTTTTCCTATAGGGAAATCAGATGCATATAACAAGGAAGAAGGGGAATGGATACTGGGCAGCCAATGAAGTTGTCCACTACACCTCACACCTGTGTTTTACAAGTACCATAAGCTAAAATGAGAGATTAGCTCCAGTGTGTTAGTCTAAGCACTACTCTGGAAGAACATACCCAATCAGGTTGATATTGCAGTTAAACCTATTAAACAAATTACTCAGGAAAGCTCAGTGTGTTGAAGGTTATGAAGCGTAATTCAGATATTATTTTGGGTGTTTTTAAGGAGATTAATGGTACAGAAATTTGCAGAGGAAAATTGGAAGAAGCACACAATACCATGCCCGAGATTTAAGACTTAAAGAGGAGTGCTTGATTCTTAGAAAATACCAAAACGTCCAAACTGCCCCAAATTGTAAAAGTCACTTTCTCTTACCTGAGTTTCTGACATACTCCATAGCCTAATGAATAGTTTAGCAAATTAAAGGCCGTTTCTAGTTAAAAGAAACATAGCAAGTACAAAATTCAGAACATTTTTATTTTACTTATTTTTCACCACTTTTCACAGAGCAGTAAACGGTCCAAATGCATAAAGGGTATAATTAATTATACCTCCAAAAATTGAAATGTGCACTCTAGTTTACAAATGATAAATGTTAAATTACATTTGTTTGAAAATCAAATACCTACAGTGATTTAAACATAAAAAAATCTTAAGATTTGAGAAATAGTTCTTATATCATGTAGAAAGTGATGTGTGTGTGTGTGTATGTGATCTTTAGTACTTTTTTTTAGTTTAAATGAAATTTCATTTTTTGTTAAAGAGGAATTTGACATCATACTTCCTGTTGACAATAGCTTCTTGACAAAATATTGTAACTAAGATTAAATTTAATAGTAAACATTCCAAAGCATGAGCTCTGCTCATTATATAATTCCTAATGAGAGTCATATAAACACAGCCAAGGAAAATTAATTATTTTTACATGAAGCACCTACATCAAATAGTGTTGAGCCTTGGGTTGAAATCTTTAAAACCTGGAATAGTATATATGCATTTTTTTGTTTGCTAGTTTATAAAGTCTAGGAGAACTCTAAGTGAACTCTCTTCTTCTATCTCCAGTTGTAAATACAATGTCTGGCCTAGAGTAGGTATACAATTGATACTGGGTATTAAAGAAGGTTTTCAAATTGGAAATTACAGCACTAGCCCAATGTGTAGTATATTGGTTGTTTGTTGAAAGAGGATTGGTCTAACTCTAGGAAATAGTTCAGAAATGTAAGCACACAGTAAAACAATTAATCAAAAGTGATTAAGAGAGTAGATTCTGAGACTTATCACAGGAAGAATTTTTTTCTTTTTATTGTATCTATGTAAGATGATGGATATTAATTAAACCTATTGTAGTAATCATTTCACATATTTGTAAATTAAACCATCATGCTTTATGACTTACACCTTAAACAGTGATATTTGCCAATTATTTCTCAATGAAAAAAATCAAAATTTAAATTGCCATTAAGGATGTTTAAGCCTTTCTCTACAGTAAGCTGTGAGATGTTTATAAGTATATAGGTATTTTTACTTATGACACAGTTGGCTAAGATTGCAGTAACTATGAAACCTTTTACTCCCAAGATGCATAGTGGATTCATTCTAAAATGTATGCTTAATAGAGTTGAAAATAAATCATAGTGCATTGAGAAGTGGTACATTTTGGCTATCTTTGTGAATTGAAAACATTAAGTGGAATGCAGAAAGTACTTAAAGTGGATATATTTTAAAAACATCCAATCTCTTTCTTCCATATGTTGACATAAACACATTTACACACAAAATCTGGGATTGAGCATCCCAATAAATGTATTTATAAGGCATTCTCAGTTCATAATTTAGGCACATGGAAGTATTAGTCACAGGGAAATGCCAAAAACAAAACAAAACAGAAACAAAAACACTAAAACCAGAAAGCACAGCAACTACGTGAGCAGCTGAAAGAACACAGTACAGTTAAAGAAAAGATAAGTAGAGGACTACACAGTTTTGTACTCCTGTTTATCAATATCATCATCATTATCATTTTTAAGTAGTTCTTGAATTAGCTGACAAATATCTAGGGTTGCTAAACTGTTTCAGAGTACAGTCCATAATGATAGTGAATTCAGGCTTACTCTTTAGTACATTAATTTTCTGCCCGGTGAAGCAAGCCTCCATTTTACCGCAAGAAAGCCCTAAAAATGCAGAAAACGCTAAGCTAGAACAAATACTGCAATGATTTATGGCAAAATTAATGCATGCCATCAGTCTCTTGGGTTGTGAAAGCCATCTCGTTGGCTGCCTAAGTATTAGATTTATGCAGTTTCTCTTCATGGTTTTCTCATCTATACTGTTCAGGATGAAACACTTTAAACGAGCAGCCCTATCTCTGGTGGCACACATTATGTCTTCACCTAACAGTCCAATTATTGAGTGGATGCACATATCTATATGTGCTCTCAAAGACAGAATAATTTGAGAAAGTTATCCATCATAGCAGCAAGTCTCTTGCAAAATTAATAGGGTCAAATTCCCCTGGATACACATACTAGACTATTTCTGTGAGTACATTGTCAATGGTTTTCAGTAGACTTTGCATTTGTAGCTGCATGTCTTTCCCCTTGTTCAGAAGAAGATTCATTAAATTAAACCAATTACTCTGTTTTGCTGCTGTGTATCAAAATTCAGTCTTAAAGTGCTGCTGTGTTGATTCTGAGCCTAAAAACTGGCTCACCACTGTATTAAGAGGTTTAGTTGAGAGGTAGACGATTGTAACAACACCTGTGACAGCTATTGTCTCCTCTAATAGGTAATAGAGTTTGATGATGGATCTGGATCAGTTCTCAGAATACAACCCTTACGGACTCCACGGGATGAGGCCATTTATGAATGTGTGGCCTCGAATAACGTGGGAGAAATAAGTGTATCCACCAGACTCACAGTTTTGCGTGGTAAGTAATCAAATACAAGGTTGTTGCCTGTGTCATTGTTGAAATTCTGTATCCCTGGTGTTCTTTTGTAGGACCACTAAAAAGAGTAGGATTGTCATGACAGTTAAATGGGAAATGAATTTAAATACAATGTTTATAAGGGTAAAGCCTTTAAACAGAGTGGGTGCCTTTTTTCACGAGTCTTGAAATAATCCTAACCAGGGAGAGAAAAGAAAATCACAGAGAAGTGATTTCCAATGCCAGATATTGTGATTTTTGGTACTGTGCCTCGAAAGGAAACAGGGCCTGCTAGTCTTTTGCATGTTAGCATTGCTTATGTATGGTTTTTTTTTTGTACCAAGGTTGGGAACTACTTTCTGCGGATTACTACGTTTGACCTTGATGTTTGCAAAATTAAAGGAGCATCCTCTACCTAAAGATTAGTTCCTCTTAAACAGAGGAATTGAGAAAAAGAAAGACACCTTTCTTCTTTATGTCAAAAAATGTGTTTTTATTTTACCCTTTTATATTTTTTCAACTAGCATCTGTTAAGGCAAAGTGAGTGGAAACAGTGTGTCCCCATATGTGTTTTCAGCTATGTGGCTTATGCAGTTTGACCAAAGTATGAAATGACTTCCCAAATTTCCAGTACTAAAAGTGTACCTACTTTCTAGACTTTCCTTAGAATGGCAGTACTAGAGAATAAAGGCTAGTGATTAATAATAGGCTGTTGTATGTCTCTAAGTCAATAATTTTGTGTAGAGATAAGAATATCATCTGAATTAGCTTACTGGTAGTTGACCTCTCCAAACTAATACTCCTGTGCCTTCATCTCTTTTTTTCTCATACACAATTTTATTTCTTTGTTTATTTTGAACCTCACTTTGCTTAATTCCACTACTTATGAGAACAGACTTTCTTAAGATGAAGTTTATTTATTTTGAGAGGAGGAGTTGGAGGGGCAGGGAGAAGGAGAGACAGAATCCCAACCAGGCTCCACCTTGTCAGCACAGAGCCTGATGCGGGTCTTGAACTCACGAACCATGAGATCATGACCTAAGCTGAGATCAAGAGTCAGATGCTGAACTGACTGAGCCACCCAGGCTCCCCCAAAAATGTTTAAATAATGTAAATATGTTACTAAGTCTCAGGAGAAATACTGACCAATTTGATATAGATCTTTTAAATGAGCATAACAGAACGCTGCTTAAAAAAACTTAAGTCAGATTTGGGCTACATTTCTGTCCATTATGACAAGCTATGTTTACATACAGCGCTCTCATCCTCCTATAAATACATCTAGATGTTGATAAAATATATCTGAAAATAAAATTAAATGCATGATTAGGCTTGCAAACAAGAAAGAAGTTTCCAGGTGCTATAGACAAAGAGAGAATCTCCAGAGAATAGACATTTATAATCTCATAAGCCAAGATAATAACCAAAAGGACCATATGCTTTATGGCTGGTGTGTTAGCTCTGCAGCACACAGGCCTACGTAAAATAAAGTGAAAGTAAGAAGAGCTAGATCAGCTCTCTGCATAAAGGTGAGAATTCTAGCACTACTTCTACGGTGCCATCCTCAGAACTTAGAATCAAACATCAAAACTGGTCAGATACAGTGACTCTCACACAGTGTGAAACAGGCAGCCCTGTAGGTACTCACCCCACAGAGATGCTCCCACAACTCAGGATATACAACCCTAGACAAGGTCATTCATTCTCAGATGGGCTCATAACTACCAGTTCTAAAGCATAAAAGCCAGTTCTAATTCATGAAGGACAGTAAGCGCAATCAATGAGAGTAGAAATTATGATCTGATGAAGTGCAGATAATGAACCATATGAATGAGTTTGGAAAGAAATGCATTTTAAATATTTGAAAAGATAATGGAAAGACTAAAATATCTCAGGCAAGAATAAGATCTAAGGGGGGTAAAAAGAACGCATGGGAGTTGGAAGTCAGATTTTAGAACTGGAAGGAATCTTAGAAACTGTTTGTAACATTTACTACAAAATATATATACATATGTGAATATCCGTATATGTGTTCATATAAACTTAGATAGTAGGTGTGAACATTGTAGAATAAGTTCTTCAGGTGTTCATATCTGAAACAAACTCAGACTAATTTGTTGATTTTCTTTTTACATTTTAAGCTTCATTTCTTCACCTAGTTTAGAACTAATGCTGTTATGCAGAAAGTGTATTACAAAGGTATGGTAAAGTAAAATTTATCACAAACACTTCCTATTTCCTTGAATTCACTCCTTAAAAGGAAGCAATGACAGTCATTTGGCTTGACTTAATCTTCATGCATGTGATGAAGAGATTAACAAAACTTGGAGTAAAATACCACTGTACTTAGATTTTCACATGAATTTGTATTTTCCTGCCTCGCAGGTGATCTACTCATCTACTTTTATTCAACTAGCTCTCACATAAAACAAATACACTTGAACATTTTAATATGATCTTAGCTTCTATGTGAATATCTGTCATATGTAAGTGCATTTGTCTGAAAATTTATGATTCTAGTAAAGATAGTTAAACCTTTTTTTTTTTTTTTTAAAGGCTATGTTTAGCAGTTTTGGAAATGTTTCATGAGAAAAACTCAAAGGTATTTTGGATAATGGAAAACTAGTCTAAACATAACTTAAAATAGAAAACTTTTCCTATATCCCTGTGGGATGAAATAAATGGGGTTGGGAATTATCTTTGTCTCCGAGGGCTACCTCTTTGTTTAAATTTTCTAAATAACTAATCATAATTCCATTAATGATAGTCTTGAAAAAATATTCCAGTAGCATAATCACATTCATAGAATATGGGTAAGGTGAACAGTTAGTTGAAATGAATGTGAAGAGTTTCCTACTACCACTGATGAGCTTTGTGCCCATTTTAAGTTCACTTGCTTTTGGAAATCACCTTGGTAGATACTCAAGTTCTCTGCTCTGCAGTTGGATCAGCCTGCTGTACACTTTCAGTCAGTGGCCCTCATCAGACGCCCATTTCATCCACATGGGTCATTTACTGTTTCCCTACTTTGCTGACAATGCCAAAAATGTGCCAACTGTCATGATGGGTTTTGTCTAAGTGGACTGGATGGAGATCACTAATTTATTTCATACAGGCTACTAGAGAACCTAATTAATTGGAGATTTAAACATCTGAACTGTGTGGCTAATGCAGAAGACATTGAAACAATACTCTGACCACCCGTGTGCATTAAGGGGAGTATTTCAGGGGAAAGTTTCCCTCTGTAGCTCTGTTCAAATTGCCTTAGCTCTGAAAAACTGTTTTCATAAGGAATGATAACTATAAGCTCAGGCTGAACATGCCCTGGAATGAGATATTTAGGCAATTACCATTTATACACTGTGCACTGTAGTTCATAGAAGTTGTAGGAGAATATGGAGTTGGATGCAGTACTTATGGCCTCTAGGTCATATTTTAATTTTTGGTTTTTTATTTTTTTTTTTTTTTGGCTGCCCTGCATGTGGAGACACAGGCAAATACCAATTCCCTCTTTCTGTAGTACTTTAGGACACTGAGCATATCTGTCATACACGCTTTCCCTCCTAAGCAGAACTTTAACTGAAGGCTTCAGATACCACTGAGGGGTTATTAAGGGCTGAGACTTACCTAATTATAGAATTTGAAGGACTTTAGATTACAAATTAGGCTTTCAAGGGCACGAGTAGGACCAGAGAGGGTATTTTAAGAAGAGGATCATTATCCAGATGGATTTAGTTCTTTCTGAATCTTTGGTTCACTGGTCGTAATTTCTTACTGGCCAAAGATTATTAGGGGGAAGTCTTGTAGTATAAATTCATATAATGATAAATGTAATTGAAAATGTTATCTCAGATACATGTTACCAGCACCAGGGCAGAGAAAATGAGATATTACCAATTTTGCATGTAACTAAGTGTCATGTTTCTAGAATTTAGATATTTTTTAAGCAGTAATCAGAAAATACAAATATTATTGGCATCCAAAACAGCATGTAATACATTATTCTTTTAAGTTTAGTGGATTATTTTTGGAGACTTGTCCATTCCCAAATAACACTGCCCCCAAAATACCACTAGCACTACCACAACAAAACAGTGTCTAATATATAATACTGTTGCTCTTACCTACTTAAAGGAGACTATCTTTTTCATACAACACAAATAAAGTAAAATTGCTGTCTGAAAAAGTTAGTTAAGGGGCACCTGGGTGGCTCAGTAGGTTAAGTATCCGACTTCAGCTCAGGTCATGATCTCACAGTTCCTGAGTTTGGGCCCCGCATCAGGCTCTGTCCTGATAGCTCAGAACCTGGAGCCTGCTTCGGATTCTGTGTCTCCCACTTTCCCTGCCCCTCCCCTGCTTGCTCGCTCTCTCTCTCTCTCTCTCTCTCTCCCTCTCAAAAATAAACATTAAATTTTTATAAAGTTAGTTAAGCAAATATTACACAATCTAATTACCTAGTTTTGCAGATATATTTTATGAAGCAATACTTAATGTTTACTCCACGCAAATGCATCGTATTTTATGAATGGCCACCATCAAGACATGAGACAAAATACAAAGTTCTCACTTTGTAATCACAGGTAATTTGAGTTCCAACTATAGTTTTGTCCCAACATAGCTGTGGCATCTTGAACAAATGTGTTAACTTCCCTACTTTCCTGTTCATTTTATTCTCCTTCCTCCTCTTCTACCCCCTCTCCTCCTCCTCCTCCATCTTCATTTTTATTATTGTTATTATTTTTTTTTATCTTCACATGCACAGAGAAGCCAAAGACATTGGACTAGGATCACTCAGATCTCTTTTCTTTAGCTTTCTAGATTTAGTGACATGCCTGTTTCATAATCCAGTTCTTGCAAGATGGAAAAAATATGCTTCCTGAAGGTGACTGTTACTGAGATAGTAAAACACACAGTGAGCAGTTGCATGAGACAGAGAAGGCATTTCATTGGGAAATGGAGAGAAATGTTTGCATAATATGTCGGTTTCAAAAAAATGTAAGCCG